TTTTCTTCCTATTTCACCTTGTTAATTATCTCATTAAGATCTTGTGTACTATTATAGTTTTTCATACCAGAAAAACTATTCGGTAAAACTTCACTTTTAAAATGACAATGAATGGTAAAACTTGACTTCATTTTTAGTTCCTTTTCTATGATTTCAAAATTTTCTGTTTTTTTTTTAGCTCATATCATATCAATAGAAGGGAGTTTCAAAATCATTTAAATAATAATTAGCTTACTTCTGTCCATAATCTGTGATTGGAGGCTTGGCTCATACCACTTTGTCATTTCTCTTGATACAATTAACTGAATAATCATAAACTGTTTGCTTCAGTTTATGCTATGAACTCCTGCATAGTCTACAAACTATTCAGAATAATCTGTAACATTTCTGAACTGTGTGAGAATTTATTTCTGACTAAGGAATCATAATAAGGCATATAAAGTGAAGGAGGTAATTAGAAAGACTCTCAGTAAGCATGTTAAATGCGTTATTGATGGTTTTATTGTGAAATTCCAAAAGAGGCCATCTGTTCTATTAATATTCAGGTAAGGTGAAAATACCAGTGACTTTTTAAAAGTATTTTCCTAATTTCATCCAAGACATAGTGGAAGTAGCTTAAAGTGCTTGCTTTTACACTTGTAAAAGAAATGAAGATCTTTTTGAGAAGCAATTGCCTCACTGGAATTGTGCAGTTGAAGTTCACATCTTACGTGTTTTGCTGGTGTTGGAGATATAAAAGTTGAAGAGCATTTGACAATTGTAATGAATCCATAACTATGTATGACTTTTAAATCTTCTAGTGGTAAGCCTTGCTTGATCAGGATGAGAAAAATGGATCTCATCTTTTAAATTTAAAGCGAGAATTTAGTTCCTGTCACTGATATCTTTTTCTTTATTGTAAATAAAAAATAAAAATAGATTGAAAAGTGAAAGATTAATACTTTGATAACATAGATCTATGAAGTTACATTATTTCAGGCAGGTGGCAGAATCACTGAGCTAAATCCCTGGCCCGAAGTTACATTATTTCAAATGTGTCTTGCTTCTTCATGAATTGTCTATAATGGAAAGATACGTTTGTTATACTGAGATAGCCATTTCACTCAGAAATTTTGGCTTACAGTTCCAGGCTTCTCAATGTATTTTCATGTTGTATAGCATATTCCTTTTTTTGAGTTGAATTAATATTAGTGGGGCAAACTAAAGACTGTCTACATTTATTTTTCTACTTTGTCTTAAATAAGTTAAAAAACCTATAGTTCTTGAACACAAAGGTAAGATTTATTTTAAAAAGAGTCTGGGCAAGGGGCCAGTTTTTAATCATTGATTTTTTTTCCCTTGGCTAAAGAACTTTTTGATCAAGTCCTGGATCAAACTGTAATCTTGGATAGAAGTTCATGTATGACTTCATCATTGCATGTGTTTATCTGACTTTGTTGGAGTACATAGTGTAGAAGTAAGTTTGTTTTTAAAGGAATATAGAAAAGCATTGCAGAAAAACTTAAAGCTCGAAGGAAATAATATACAAAGCTTACTGTTTTCCCAGAAGATACACACACGTGCACGCACATGTTTATGTATACCTGGTGGTGTGTACATATACATTACGTGAATGTATAACACATCCGTATATGCACATGTGTACATGTGTGTATGCATAATACACATGTGTTCACACATATATTCTTGTCTCTATACATTATTCTTTTTGTACAGTAATTGCTTTCAAAGAGCTGAAATATCTTGGGAGATGCCTAACCAGCCATTGAAATAAGTATGTTATTTTTAGAAAAAAAAAACTACTAAGTTACAGAACTTTTCCTATTTAAATTGGCCAATCTAATCACAGAGTTGATATTTACTTGTACTGTTCTGTTTGACACATATCTCACTGAATAAAAAAGACTATGAAGTAATGCCATTTTCCTCCTATTTACAAATAAGTAATCAGAAGCACCAGGAGGTAATGTGTCCAGAGTCTCTTGCTGATAAAGGCAGACAAATAATTAAAATCTAGGATATCTTCTTTTAGACTCCATGTCCAATGCCTCTATTTTGTTATTAAAAAAAGAATAGAGATGAATTAAATAAGTTATTGAAGGAGCAACATAGAATTGTAGGTATTCATTTCAAATTGAGACCTGTGTTAAAATTTGTAATTTATAATTTTTAGTGAGTTTTTATTAAAATAAAAAACCTCACTGAATACATGTATTTCTTCTCTCAAAAATTAAAAATCTCAGAATATTACAACTATAGGCCATATAAAAATGTCATTGTATAATGTACTTATTCTTAAATACTGTAATTATAGAAAGAAAATAATTATATAGGGATATTTTAGAAAGGCAGCTGAGTATATTGGGATGTGGAATTCAAAAAATAAGCATTTGAATTCCTTGTCTTTGTCTTTCTAGCTATATGACCCTGAAGTCCCTCAGACATATGGAGCAGTAGTTTTCTCATCTATTAAGTGGGAAAAATAATATTTACACTGTAGGATTTAAGAGTCAAAGTGAAATTTCAGCTTAGCAAAGTATACAATAAATGGTTAATTCAACTTTAGCATTAATAATTCATTAAGTAAATGAATTTAAATTTTAGTAGAGAAGGTTAGTATTTTTTCAGTTATTTCATACTGCTTCATAAAATCAGATTTTATGGACTTTTCCCCAGAAATAAGATACTTTGCAAAAGCTGTTATAGTACTCTTTATTGTTTACAAAGAAAAATGTTACAGATTTGTATTTTAAGCAAATAGAACCTATTGAATGAAAATGGCAAAATATTTTTTCCTTATACAACTTAAAGTGATTTTTAGAAGTGACCAAGAAATTTAATGATAGCTAGGAAATGAATTAAAAGATTATTAAGGGCATAATGAGATGAAAATACAGTTACAGCCCCCTGGAAAACATTAGGGTGGAGTATAATAATACCAGGCTCTTGTGTTGACTGTCAGGGTTCCAGTAAAGGCAGCTCTTGGTAGTACCATTTTTGTCTTGACAAGAAGTTGGAAATTTATGTCCATTTGCAAATAATAGAAAAACCATTTGAAATTGTAATGGTCATGGATGTTAAAATTAGCGAGACTAATTTTACTTCATCTATCAGTTTTGGTAGTTAAACCATGAAGAAAAGTGGATTCTCCTATATTCTTGTTAGTAAAGGCTTATCCCTACTTGTACTGCTGTATCAACAATTCAGACTTACATCTTCTGAAGTTCACTCGTGGTAAAGGGAGCTATATCATAGTAGCGCAACTGGCGTGTACTCTAATGTGTGAATAGTTTAGTTGACTCCATAACCCTGCTGAAGATAGGTCTTTGAGAACCACTTTGGAACATGTTGTTGTATTGGCCACGGCAATGACCAGGGAAGTCCTATTATATATGCAAATGGTAAAAATGTTTTTTATTAGTGTGCTGTGGTGTGCTCTCTGATGCTCTTAAATCCATGTTGATTGGAGTATATTCTGATTGGGACATTTTGGAGATTTTGATTTTATCCCATATGATAATGCTACTTTTAATGAAATGTAATTATTTTGAACTTGAAAATGCTCAAACCGAAATTCCTTAAAGGTTAAATCAACTCCCCGAAATGGAACATACATCCAAGTCCTTTGGGGTATCAGGATCTGTCCTGCTTCATTATAATCTCAGCAGTCTCTGTGGATCATGGCATGTGACTCTATGCTGTCTTTGCAACCAAATCATCAGGAAATTCTAGTTCAGATACTACTTACTGTAATGACGAGTGAGAAATTATATCCGTATCTGAACTGGTCCATGGGTGGAATCTGCCTGCTATTGCTTTTGGGACTTCTGCTCACCTAAACCTTCACAGTGATTTTGAGAACTCTCACACAAACTTTCTTTCAAGCATTTTAACATACTATTATGTATCCATTTTGTAAGGTAATCAGACAAGACAAGAATTTCAAAACTTATTTATAAATTATAGGAAATAATCAGTTAAATTTCTAAATTTTCTCTTAATATAATGCGTGGATGATTAAGAAAACTTAAAAGCTGTAGGAGAGGTATGGTGCCTAGAGTCAGAACTACAAAGAAAGCAGTATGAGCCATAGCCCTAGGTATTGGGTTACAGATTTTTGAAATAGCTTGTACACTGACCAACAATGAAAAAAAAATCTCTGAACTTTTCTGAGTCCAATTCTTTATGTAAAAGTGGGTATACAGTAATTCTTTGAATTAATTAATGAACAAATATGTATCTGGTGCTGCTTATGTGCTGTGTACTTTGATAGGCATTGAAGATATGACATAGTTAAGATGGGACTATTGAAAATGGAGCATGGGGTAAGAGACAGAAGATTGAAACAAGGCAGGGAAAACAGAAAAACTGAAGAAAAAATGATTGAGTTGAGAGCTGGCTCATGACGATATAACTAGGAGAAGAAAAGGAACAGAGCAGATCTGAAAGATGACGAGAAGACAGTGTGGCTGGGTGAGCACTGAGGACCACAAAGAAAGTGGTGCGAATAGCTTTTGCTTGTTAACATTTACAGAATACTGTTAAATTACAGTGATTTTGTTTCATACAGTAATCAATAGGTTCCCAGGGATTTTCAAGGAGAATTAACACTAAAGAAAAAAAATACCTGACTCTTCATTATTTATAAAAAGCAAAAGTTAAGAATGCCTTATTTTAAAAAGTTGTTTTATTTTATGAGAAAATGAAATTTCATAATCTAACAGTAAGATAATAGTTATTACATTGTGTACATTTATCTTTAATAATGGTTTATTTTTAACTGCATAGAGACCTAAACAAATATTCAATGAACATTTATTGCATTCCTGCAATGATCAGACACTAGGAGTATAAACATTCAGTTCCTCTTCCTGCAGAAGTTTACAGATAATCCACAACAATGGTTTCTTGGTAACTTCAAATTTATTTCCATGAAATGGATGCAGCAAATAATAAAAATTATAAAAAAACCATTTCTTCTTTTTCTTAAACTCTTACAGACTAACTGCTACTTAACAAACTCAAACTGCAAGCAGAAATGAAGGGAACTGAAGAAATCAAGTCACAAAATCAGCTTGTACTTAGAGAAGTGATTTTGTCATTGTTCATATGAGCTTTTTACATTTACTCTGCATTTAATCTAATTCAGCATATGTATTTTAAAAAAATTACATGTTAATGTCACTTTAAATAAAAATTATTATGAACATCAAATACTAAATATGTTACAACTTCATCTTGAAAACTAATAGGTGAGTAATCATTCTAATGATTTTCTTTGATACCTAGAAAATTAACATTATTTCTATTTTTCTTAGCAGGACCAATTCTAAGTCTGCTAACTGAGCCTATTACTACAGGTTTGTAAATTACTTCCTGATATTAATCAAAATAAAAATGTAGTTATTAAATAACTACTAAATATGGGCTTTATGAAAGAATATATAAGATATTTGGATTTTACGAAAAATATTTCAAGAAAGGACTTTAAAAGGTTTTTTGGTGATAAATTGTTCTAAACTGAACTGAACATTATTCCATCAAATTCTATAGACTAGGAATAATATGGAGCACTTCTATAGGCTTCTTTAGTTTTAGCTATTTAGAAAAAATAAAAATATACTTAATAACCCAAATATATAAAAAATGCAGAGGATAGGGGAAAAGGTATATATATACCTTCAACTATATCATTTCTTTCAGTGAAAAAGTAGTAAAAGATATGTTTTACTGCAATATTTCATATTGAATGTAATCTTCGGGAAACAACAGAGATGATGCAATAATGTTCAGCTTTTGCTATGGGTGGGGAGAAGACCCAACACAATGTGAGGAGCACACCAGGCAGGGCGAGCCAGGGGCGGAGCTCTGGTTAGGAAAGCAGGAGAGGGGGCCG